AATCTAACCTCTGTTTGAAATTGTCCTTGAGGAACTTTCTTACCCAGCCCTCCTGCCACCATGAGTCTCCTATCACTTGCCCAGGAACACTACTTTCTGATACTTTTTTTTCCTTCTTCTTCTTTTTGTAAACTGTCCCTTCTATTCTACTTCCATCTCCAGCCAAAATGATTCCTAGAGCTCACAAGCTTCTCTCAGACACATGTCCAACCTAATTCTACCCAGGAAACAGCTGTCAGCACATTTCCTTTGGGGTTTGTATTTCCCTTTAACTTAAGTAGGTCATTGCACTAAAGGAAGTGTAAAGACAGAATGAATGAAAATAAGCTGCTAAGATCTGCTGGTGTGAGATCTGTAAAAACTTGGGGAAATGGGCAGAGTGGCAGGGCTGGGCTAGCAGGCAAGTCCTTCCTGAGCCTTCTGATGACTCAAACCTTTCAGCATTACTAGTCACACAGGCAGAACAAACCATCAAGAGAGTGCAGTCCTAAACCTGTGAAGTTACTGCCTTGCCTACATCCATGCGCCTTTCTTCTCCTGGAGAGGAGGGCTCCGGAGAGGACAAAAGATAAATTCAGTGGAAGGATGCCATTTGGCACATTGAGAAGGGATGCTTGGGGCTAAAAAGGAGGAGACAGGTGGCCTGAAATGCAAAGGTCTTACTAACACAGTTCACTTTCTTCCAACAAAAATAAAATGTTTCATCCAACCAAGCTGCCCTGTCTCTCCTTTGAAGAGTTCATTCAGGTAAGCAGAGACCTACTATCCACAGAAGAAACATCCCCAGTTGGATGCAGGAGCTTGGGTAAAACACCCTATGGGATTAGGCTAGGTGAAACCAGAGGAAAGTGACAAGGGTCATCTTTTAAGGTAAAAAGAGGAGTCATACACACACTCACACACACACACACACACAAATATATATATACATATGGACATGGTAGGGTATAAACATAGCAGGTAGCAACCCAAGTGTATTCCTATATTTGATGACATAGTTGACCCTCATCTTCTCTCAAACCACCTGGAACCCCGCTTCTTACCAACTGCAGCAAAATCTACTCTGCTACCGTCAGCACATACCTTACTCTATCACAGAACATGGTTTATGCCATCGCTTAGCCATTGCTACAAAACCTACCGGGTCGTAGGTGTCTTAACTTTCAGGAGCTAAAATGATGATGAAACCTTATTAAATTCATAAGGTTTTATGTTCATATATGAATACACAACCAGTAACTCCACATCATGTACAACCACAAGAATGGGAAGTTATTCTTTATGTATGAATGATATGTCAAAATACATCTACTGTCATGTATAACTAAAAAGAACAAATTTTAAAAATCGTGGGTTTTATCATTGTTGGCCTGAAACTTTTTCCCTTCTCTATCTTTTTTTCTTTTTGGGGGTGGGGGGGGAGGAGGTGAACCTAGGGCCTTATGCATGTTAGGCAAGTACTTTACAACCGAGGTATACCCCTAGCCCTGCCCTTAAAACCTCGACTCTGAAGTTACATAGTGACACAGACCAGACATCTGTTGATCCTCACACTGAGATGTGAGGATCTTCTGCTCTGTTGGACTGCACACACTTCCATTCATTCACTCATGTATTAGATATCGTGGGGCACCTAGTATGCAAAAGGCAGTGCATGAAAAGACACAAAGGCAAGAAAAGTGCCCTCTTGAACCTTGTGCTCTAGCCCAGAGAAGCACCAACTAACCTGGAGAGGTAACAATGTAAGCTATGGGTATAATTCAAAATTTTCTGGTAGTCATACTTTAAAAAGGTTTAAAAAATGTAAAATTGATTCTAATACTATATTTTATTTAGCTTGATAGATCCAAAATCATTATCTCAACATGTAACATGCAGTCAATATTTTTAAATTATTGCAACATTTTACATTCTTTTTGTCCTACGACTTTGAAGTCCAGTGTGTATTTCACACTTGCAGCTTGTCTCTATTAAGAGACAAGCTATAGCTTGGATCTGGAATGTCCCCCTCAAGTGTTAAAGAGTAGGTCCCCAGCCTATAGCACTAGGTATCCCAACATGTCTTCCTGCCTCTCTCTGTATTTCCCAGTGGCCATGAGGTAAGCAGTTTCCTCTGCTACATGCTTTCGCCACAAGCCCAAAGCAATAGGGCCCAGCAACTATGAACTGAAACCTCCAAAACTATGAACCAAAAGAAACCTTTTTTTCTTTTAAGTTGATTTTCTCAGGAACTTTGTCCCAGTGACAGAAAGCTGACTAACACAGATACTAAATTTCATCAAAAATATTTGATCTGTATTTGTATTTGACATAGTAGATTTACATGCCCAAATAGTTTCAAACATGCTTATAAGTTTTCCAGTAACTTTATTCTTAGCTTTTAAATTCAAATTAAGTAAAATTTAAAACTCAGTTTCTTGGTTGTGCTAGACCCACCCAAGTATTCAACAGCCATGCATGGCTACTATCTACTGTATAGGATAAAGAAGATTTAGAAAGATGAACAATAATCAAATTAACTCATAAATAACTGCAATGCTATAATTATGATAAGTGATAAGGAATATAGATGCATGGTATTGTCAGATTGTAAAATACCCAATTTTGAGGGAAAAGGAGACTTTTCTCAAAGAAATTTAAGCATTCTGAAGATTAATACAGGAAGAGAATGTACTTGGGAAGAAGGGCTTTCCTGGATAATAAAAATAAAAAAGGCAGCAGCATTTACCAAGGCCCTGAGGCAGATGGGAACAGGATAAGGTCTGCATTAGTCAGCATCCTGTGGGGAAACAGATGGCCCTTTCAGACTGGGTAAATTTAGGAATGTTTAATACAGAGACTATTGAACAAAACGAGGAAAATAGAACAGAATAAGAAAAAAAATACAGAATCGTGTAGCACCCTAGATTAACAAGAGCAGGGAGCCATTAGCCACTACCATCACTCCAGCTGACATGGGACAGAGGATATAGCAGTCATTAAAACCTGGAGTCCATATGGGAAGGCAAGAGCTGTGGCAGAAGATGCAATCAGCCAGCATTCCAAAAGGGTGATAGCAGGGGAAATACATAGCCCAACTTGACCTTTTTTGCATCCTCCAATATCCTGTGTGTCTCCCTTGACCAAGCCCAGCTGGGCCAGATGGAAAGAGAGATCACTGATGCCACCCACACAGATCAGCCTTGAGGCATCCTAGGGCATGAAGATAGTAGAGAGTAAATCTGGAAGGACAAAGTGAAGACATGCCACTCAATAGTTTGTGTATTATTTTTCTGTTGCTGCTACAATAAATTACCATGAATTTGGTGGCTACACAGGATTGTGATTTCACAGTTTCTAAAGTCCTAAAATTGAGGTGTTGGCAGGGCTGCATTCCTCCTAGAGGCTCAGAAAAAAAAAATCCATTTTCTTGCCTTTTCCAACTGTTAGAGGTTTCTGCATGCCTTGGCTCACAGTCCCTGCTTCCATCATCACACCTCCATCTCTGCCTGAGACCCTCCTGCTTTCCTCTTATGAAGATCCTGGTGACTGCATTGGGTCCAACTGGATAACACAGGGTAATCTCAGATCCCCATCTCGAAACCCCTAACTTGGTCACATCTGCCAAGTGCCTTTCATCAAGTAAGGCAACATATCCAGAGGTTTTGGTGATTACGATTTGGACATCAGGTGGTATGGACATTGTTCAGTCTACCACGGTGTGTTGAGAAAGTGCACCATAGTGGAATGCAAAGGGCAAGGTGGAATTAGAGAGGTACAACAATGGTTAGGCTAGGAAGGCAGCCTATCAGCAATGTGGTGTAGGACATGCTAGGATTTTGTTCTGTGTCTTAAAACCAATGAAAAGTCATTGAACTCACATTGTTGAAAAATGCACTCTAACTTCAAAACAAAAACTAGACTGGGAAAAGGTGGTAGTCATTGAAGATGAGTTGAGGATTTGTAGTGCAATTAGATAGTTGAAGGAAATGTCTGGCACTAAGAGGTGGCTGTAAGGGTGGAGAGAATTAGAAGGATTTGAGAAATATTGAGGAAGTAAAGTTTGTAGGACTTGATGATAGATTGGCTGAGCAATGAAGCTTGAGGGTGCCCAACAGGATGCTTAGGTTTCTGACTTGCTATTCTGGATTGATAGTAGTATAATTTCATGCAATAAAAAATAAAAATAAACTATGTACTAAGAAAAGGTTTGCTTGGGGGGCAGGAGATGTGGATTTGAACATGCAGAGTTTGAAATTACTTTAAGGGAAACAAGTAGAAAAATCAAATGGGCAGGTGAAGAAAGATTTTATATATATATATATATATATATATATATA